CCACCCCCGGCCCCAGGGGTGGACAGCCCGGCTGATGGCATCCAGGCCCCCGCAGCGCTTGGAGGGCGCAGTCCAGGTGATGCGCCGGGCGATCTCTTCCTCCGGCTCCCATATGGAGACGAAGGTGAAAGCAACTGCAGGACCCACACGGAGAAAATAGATGCGTTTAATACTGGGCAGGTCTATACAATGACACAATTTATATTTCGTCGTGAATAGCTTTTTTCTGATAGGGACCGCTTGGGTTAAAGAGAAGCTTCCGGTAAATGAGAGCCGCGTCCGCGATGCAGCACACCACCGCCAGGAGGCCGAACACCTGGAGACAAGACACAGCGTCACTGCCGGCCGCCACTGGACTCTGTCTCCAAGGGGTCTGCCCACCCGGCCTCCTCTCCTGCTAGGGCACAGGGATTGCTGATACTATGACGGGAAGAGAACTCAGAGACCATTTTATTCTCACTGCCAAGTTTTCCCAGTGCCTGCCCAGAGAAAGGGAAAATATCATGTAAGTGAGCAGAAGTGCCATTGAAGGGGTGGGGGCTCTGAAATAAAGACTGGTCTGGATCTCTCTTTAAAAAAAGTATATATATTTTATTGATTTATTTTACAGAGAGGGAGGGAGAGGGATAGAGAGTTAGAAACATCAATGAGAGAGAAACATCAATCAGCTGCCTCTTGCACACCAACCAAGGGACATGCCCTTGACCAGAATTGAACCTGGGACCCTTGAGTCCATAAGGCAGCTGACGCTCTACCCACTGAGCCAAACCAGTTACGGCTGGTCTGGATCTCTTCACTTGCTCCTGGAATGTACTGTTTCAAGACCTACTGCTGACATTTAGTCATCAGTCAACATGTCTATCTCCAATGGTCCACTCTTTGCCTTTCCTGCTGCAAACGCTACTGGAGAAAGGGTCAAAGTTCACACCAGCTCCAAGATGAAAGGGTGGTGCTAGTAGCTGTGATGAAAGCTTTGGAGAATAGGAGTGATAAGATTACTTCAAAGGCTTGGCGGTGTTCACATAAGGGGCGGGACTCTAGGCCTTGGGAAAATAAAATTGAGGTCAAGGGAATGAACGAGAGCGTGGTCTTCAAGCACGCTGACCGCTATTTGAGAGCTGGTGCCTGGGCTGGAGAGGGGCCACTCCTGCGTGCTATTTGCTCAGCTCCATCTAAAGGGCTGGAAGTCTGGCTTTCTGGCTCCAGACACCGCTCCATTTCCACCCTGAATCTCGAGCGTGGCTTCCTAGGTTCTGACCACATGAAGTACCTTCTACCTATGCTTTCATGACTCTGGTACTCTCCACACATTGCTGGTTCCTCCCCCTGGGAAATCCTGCCCCCTGCCCCCCACTTTCCTCCTTGATTCCTGGCAAACTTTGATTCCATGGCCAGAGAGTTGTAGCTTCCTCTTTTCTGTGCCCCAAAATATTCTGTCGATAGCTCACATACAGCTGTTCACACTTCTGTCTTCTGCATTAGGCTCTAAGTAACTTGAGGAAAGGACTCATGTTCTAGTCCAGCGCCGTCCCAAAGAAATAAAATGTGTCACCAAGCCCGGCCAGCGTGGCTCGGTGGTTGAGCACCAGCCTATGAACCAGGAGGTCACGGTTCGATTCCTGGTCAGGGCACATGCCCAGGTTGTGGGCTTGATCCTCAGTAGCAGGCATGCAGGAGGCAGACAATCAGTGATTCTCTCTCATCATTGATGTTTCTATCTCCCTCTCCCTTTCTCTCTGGAATCAATTTAAAAAAAAAATGAGTGAATGAATGAATGAGTAAATAAGTGAGTGAAAGTGAATCCTATGCCTGGGTGGCCCCTCTGTCTCCATAGTAGAGGGTAAGATTATCTTTAAAGACCACTGGGGACATTGCTGTTCCAGCAGTGTTTCATTTCTAGAGTAATTCCCATCCCTCATGAAGTTGCTTAGGGCCTAATAAGGGAGAGGAAAAGCCACGGATTCTGACATACATGGCTATCTGAGAGCGATCAGTTCTCCTAAGCGGTCCATACTATGAAAAGACAAGGAAGTAGGAGGGAGATTTATTTAATAACTTTCTAATTCACTTCTCTAGATCAGAACCTAGAAAAGCCAAATGATTTTGAACCTCCTATAAGAAATCTCAGAAGAGTATCAGATGGGACTGTTTTGACATTTTTTTTTATTTTGCCTTCCTTGCTTTCCAGGATAAAGTCTGGTTACACTGATTTGTGTCTCATCAGAGTTCAAAATCATTCTTTAGTTAATAGGCTTCGTACCACGATCCCCTTATCACGAGACATCTATTATATTCCCTCGGAGGAAGGATCTGGACAAGAAATAACTGAGCTCAGAATAGTCTGTCTCACCTTAACAAGTGGTACGATTTTTTAAAAATGTTTTATTTTTTTAAATAAATATATTTTCATTGATTTCGGAGAGGAAGGAAGAGGGAGAGAGAGATAGAAACATCAATGATGAGAGAGAATCATTGATTGGCTGCCTCCTGCACGCCCCACACTGGGGATCGAGCCGCAACCTGGGCATGTGCCCTGACTGGGAATCGAACTGTGACCTTCTGGTTCATAGGTCAATGCTCAACCACCGAGCCACACTGGCTGGGCAGTATGTATTTCTATTTTTTTTATTTTTAAAGGGAGAACTATGAAAGTTATTCATGGTGTTTTTGCTTGACATCAAGCTTCTCAAAGCTAAGTATTATAACTGATTCTTGTAGCTTTTCTCAGTCTAGGTTTTCTCAGCCTAGTCTAGCCTTACATATCTATGAGAAATATGTAGGAGCCTCATTATTTAGTTAACTTCATTTTTATTGTGACACCATATTCCTTCAGGGCATATATTCATACAAAAAAATATTAAGCCACTGGGTGCTGTAAGACCTGGGAGGACCAAGGATGAATACAGTATAGCGTTCTGTCCTTGTATCTGTTTTTTAAATAAATTGAATTCTGATCAAACCTAAAGGAAGAAACCAGAAAGGCCTCCACTTACCCCTCCAAGGACTGTATATTTCGTGGTTTCTGGTATCAGTGCCAACACAGATATGATTATCATGAATATTGCTGCTACCAGTGAGTTGAGAATATCCTGAAAACGCAGAATAGAAAGGTCAGCTTTACATGAAGATTACACACACACACACACACACACACACACACAGGGTAGGAAAAAAGAAGAATGAGCTCCCCAAAGATATACATAGTTCCATTTTATTAAACAAATTTATTTAGTGTTCATCTTTTTAGAAAATCAAACTGCTACAGTAAAATGACACCTATATTGTGTTTGGTCTACAAGGACGTCTAGTCGCCCGCTTAACCTAGAATACACCAATCGTTGATTTACTTAACAGGCTTATTTATTTTTTACTTAAACGTAGTTGGAGGGAACTCCTCTGGTTAGGAGTAGACGATCTAACACGTGGGAGGTTTAAGGTAGAAAGGTGCATTGGGCAGTCAGGATGCTCAGTTGTAACAGCGTGAGAAGTGCGAAGTGGTCGACACTGTAAACCAAACCACTTGATAATGTTACTGAAATGCAGTTCATGAAACTAAAAGCAGTGCATACTTAGGAGAAATTTCTTAATTTTCAGGAAGAAACTCCCACACATCTGTATGCGATGGTTGGCCAATTGTGCTCTCATTTCTGAGGAGGTAGCTCATTCATGATTTCTTGAAAGGAAGCATTCCCCTTCTGAACTGTGGCTTTATGGGGTTGCAGCTTACGTTTTGAATGGAGGATAGTGCGGGAAAGGTAAGTCATCTCTATTCTGGAATCACTTATGTATGCTTACAGGTAACTAGAGACAGGAAGGAATTAACACAGAAATATCAAACTTCAAAACCCTGGTAGCTCAAAAAAGTAGTGATTCCAAAGAAAACAGGAGAGAAAGAGGGTCAGTGGGGGCAGGTCAAGATGAGATACACTTAGGAAGAAAACACTTCTCATTTGCAGGAGATACTAAGACTACCTGCCCCAGGTCAGTGTCCCAGGTCAGGGCCCCTCGGTGCCGGACACCTTGCTCTGCTTCAAGGCAACTGACCAGGCAGCCCTGCTTCCTGGAGTGACTTGGGTATGTGTGTAGGAAAGGCTTTGGATGAAAAGGCGTTAGTGTTCTAGATTCTGCAGAGAACCACAGGAAAAAGGAGGGTGCACCTGCCCGGGAACATGGGTCTCCCTTGGGTCCTCTCTGGTCTCTCTCTGGCCACTCCTTTTTCTCACCTCATATGTTGGTATTTCCCAGTTTTACCTTCAGCTTCCTCGACACTCTCAGAGCCATTTAGGCCAGTCCCCGAGCTTATTTCCATCCCAAGGGAATGTGATGACTCTCCAAGCCGCAGCTCTAACTCCTCTCTCCTAAGCTTCAGATCCTTCCTGAACATTTCCATCTGAATATCCCACACGCAAGGAAAACCTAGTATTTCTCCAACTGAACTCACCACCTACCACTCTCCTTGATCCTTCCTCAAACCTAATCTTCCTCCTAGACTGCCTATCTCATTTTCCTCTTAAGATAGTTATTCAAAGGGCAGGCATCCTTGATTCTCCTTGGTTACTCAGTCCTACCCATTCCACCTCACTAACATCCCCTTTCTCTCCAGCTGTTATAACCGTAGTTCAGGCCTTTGTCAGTTTTGTGCCTGGATTGTGGTAACAGACTTTTCTGTGATCTCTCAGGCCTGCCTCTAGTTTTGTTCCATTTCAAGCCATTATGGATCCTGTCGCCAGTGCCATCTCCTAAAATGTAAGCTGATCGTGTCACTCTGCTACCTGATCTTTCTTTTAAAATTTTTTTTAAAAAATTGATTTCAGCGAGGAAGGAAGAGGGAGAGAGATAGAAACGTCAATGATGAGAGAGAATCATTGATTAGCTGCCTCCTGCACACCGCCTACTGGGGATGGAGCCTGCAACCTGGGCATGTGCCCTGACTGGGATTCGAACTGTGACCTCCTGGTTCATAGGTCAATGCTCAACCGCTGAGCAAAACCGGCCGGGCTGATACCTAATCTTTCAAAAGCTTCCACCGGCCTTTGGGTTAAAACCCAGGGCATACAAAACCTTGTGTGCTCTGACCTCCAACTGCCTCCCAAGCCTCTACTCTTGCCCCCTCTCTTCTTTCTAACTCCATACTCCAGCCATTCAGAGCTACCTGCAGGCCTTTGAGGGCCATGCTCTTTCTCTCCTCCCCCCGCCCCCCACCCCTCGCCTACATGAGTCCCTCTACTGGAAAAGCCCTTCCATCCCCATATCAGTCTGCTAACGACTTTTCATCCTTCAGCCCTCAGCTCAGGCCTGTTATGATTGGTCCCCTTCCCTGCCTGGGTGCCTCTACACCCTCCTGGGTGCACATCTATACAGCACCTGTCACACTGAATTGCTCATCCACCTTTCTTCCTGGCGACACTGAAAGTTCCTCAGGTACAAGATTTGTGTTTTGTCTTATTAAAGAACCCATCACAGAACCTGGGATGAGCAGATACTGAACATTTGGTGACTAAATGAATTCGTTAGATCAAGAGCAGAGAGGAATCTGGGTATCATAGTGGAGTAATAACTTAGTTGACCATATAGCACCATCTTGAAAAGATTACAGTATCAGCAAAGTGTGATCCTCAGAGATTTAGGGACCACTTTCAGTAAGCTACCCATAGTCCACTGTCCCCCTCAGTGCATTCTGTTAAATGTAGGGCTCCAAGTTTGTTACCTGTAAGAAGCTCCAGAGAATTATTAGTTTGGAGAAAAATGCTAAAATGTGTTAAGCTTTAATAACCCTGGAAAAGCAGAGTATGAAGAGCAACTAGTCCAGCTTTTTGAGCACAAGATTAAAAGGATGTGGATCAAGTTCATCATCTCCTTGAGGAAATCCTTGGGATCAGTTAGCTTAGGCCTTTCTGCCACTAGATGATGGTATGTACTCTGAGGAACAACTGATGAAGGCTTTTCATCTCTTCTCCTACCTAGACCTCCCTTGAGATAGGTCCAGCTCTATAGTGTGGATGAAGGTGTTTGGAGGGATGCTGTGAAGGTCCTAGCTCATTCCAAGCTTCACCCTTTTGGGATTTCTCAGCTTGAAATTAGCCTGAAATGATCATCATTGGCCTTAGAAGGTGGTTTCAGAAGGTACCACTTGAAGGCATGCTTCTGCTTTGAGAATAGCTCTGAAGTTCTCTTTTTTAAACAGGGGTTATCAGCCTGGAGATCACTTCAGGAGGAGGAGACAGGTGCAGCAGAGGGTCTTAGGAGGGAGACCTCTGGAGATAGGATGCTAGGGAGAAGGCTTGAGAGAGGAGACAGAGTTGAAGTCATTCATTTTCTCCTAGAACAGCGGTTCTCAACCTGTGGGCCGAGACCCCTTTGGGGGTCGAACGACCCTTTCACAGGGGTCGCCTAAGACCATCGGAAAGTACACATATAATTACATATTGTTTTTGTGATTAATCACTATGCTTTAATTATGTTCAATTTGTAACAATGAAAATACATCCTGCATATCAGATATTTACATTATGATTCATAACAGTAGCAAAATTACAGTTATGAAGTAGCAACGAAAATAATTTTATGGTTGGGGGTCACCACAACATGAGGAACTGTATTAAAGGGTCGCTGCATTAGGAAGGTTGAGAACCACTGTCCTAGAACCAGCTTAGAGTGCAGACTGCAGGACCGGATACACCTTAACTAATATCTTCCACATGCCTATTTTGACAGTGTATAGAACTATGTGGGCACTCCACCGGGCAGTTATTCGTAATGTTACAAATGTGGCAGATGAAATCCATATGCTACTAAATAAGGCTCTACAAGATGCGTTAATGACTGCAGACTTTTAAAATAAGATAATTTTGTGCTTTATTGAGCCTCCCAAATGATTCTGATTTTCCATTTAGTGATCAGATATGTGTAAGATATAGATACTGTGTATTTGCCTCCATCTCTACCCCCCAATTTTAAATGCAGCATGCATTTAAAAGGAAGATAAAGATTGAGAATGTTCTCAGACTTAACCATGACCTTTAATTTAAATGTTTTAAAAAGATTTACACTTAGGTGAATTCTCCTGACAGAAGGGTCAGCCACATCTCCTTTGGACGGAGTTCAAAGGGGAATTTATGTGCTGTGACTACCCTGGCTCCCTGAGAATCTCCCCCGGGGACAATACAGGGCACCTTAGCACTGGGTAGTGTTTATCCTTCCTACGTGTATCAGAGATTCCTTACAGGCTTAAGAAAACGAAAGAAGAGAGTTTATTAAAATGTCTCACTAGGGCAGGAAAAAGTAGTTAATTTTAACGATGAAACTGAACACTTACAAGCAAAGGCCAAAATAGAAAGGTAATTATTCGATCAAGTCTGAGCATATATAAAATTATGAAAAATAAAATAATGGTGACTTCAAATCCAGTGATAACAATGTATGGTTCGGGGGCCTGTGTGAGGATGAAAAGTGTCATAGATGTCGCAGTTAGTGCCTGTAAGGAAAAAACACACAGATATGATTTGTCAGTGATTATTGAATACAAGCGTAAGCTGTTAAAAATGATCATTTCTAAAATACCCAAATAAACCGGTTTCTGCCGTACACACATCTAAAAGGCATGACTGAAATGCATGGATGTGTGCATACGGCAGAAACCATTTATCTAGCTATTCACGACATTCTCTATAGCGACTCACCAAGTGCTCACCTGTGCCTGTTACCTTTGCTTTCTGGGAATGTACCACCTTCCCAAGTGGCCATGTAATTTGGGGAACTTTCCCAATATAACATTCTTCCTCATCGTAAGCAGAACTGCTTCCCTGTAGTAACTTTGAACTATTTCCACCCCATCTCCTATAAGGTCACTGCTTTAAAATTAAATTTTTTTCCCTTTCCCCCTTTTTCTTCAACTCCTTCAGCACAGTCTCCTATGGCAGTTTCCACTTCTCTAACTAGCCGGGTCACCTTCCTCCCCACGAGGATTCATTCTCTCCGAGTGTCTGTTCAGAACTGACCGCAGTGCTCCTGTAGGCCCCACACTCCAGGCTCTGGGCTGAATGAGCCCTGAGCTCGGTCACATCAAACTTCTGACCCGCAGTAAAGAAGCACCGCATCCGCCGAAACCGGTTTGGCTCAGTGGATAGAGCATCGGCCTGTGGACTAGGGGGTCCCAGGTTCCATCCCGGTCAGGGGCGTGTACCTGGGTTGCGGGCACATCCCCAGTGGGAGATGTGCAGGAGGCGGCTGATCGATGTTTCTCTCTCATCGATGTTTCTAGCTCTCTGTCCCTCTCCCTTCCTCTCTGTAAAAAATCAATAAAATATATTAAATTAAAAAAAAAAAGAAGCACAGCATCCCCCGAAACCCCTGAGTCTTCCTACCTTGCTGGCTTCTGAGTGGTACAAGTGCAGCTGCCTCACCTGGAAGCCTGGGGACCTGGCTTGGGGTCCAAGTGCAGGCCATCCAGGTAAGTAGGCTGACTTTGCTTTATGAGTGTGCAAAGACAGTGCCTTATCGCTCTCCTTCCCGCTGGGATGCCTCGCCTCTAGGGCGGGCCTTGATAAAAACAAGGTTGGAAGAGAAGACGGGGCATTCTACTTCCTACTTGACACCCATCACTGCCCCTGAGCACCTTGCACGCCGCCCTCCACCCTGCAGCCGGCGCTCACCAGCCGCAGCATCTTCACAAAGCCTTTCACGCTACAGCAGAAAGGGCGATGCTCCATGGCGCCCGCAGACCCAGCAGCAGCACTGGCCCTTCAGCCCCCCTCCACGGGGCCTCCTGCGGGGGCCGCAACGGCAGCGGCCGCCTCGCACCCCGCCCCCCACCCTTCCAGGCTAGGGGTCCCCTTCCCGCTCTCACGCGCGTGCACGTGTCTGCACGGCCCGCACTAGCGCGCATGCGCCCTAGCCGGTTCTCCCTGGCAAGCTGCATTCTTGCAAAGTGCCAGTCCCCTGTGAGCACGCGAGCACCTCCCCGCCCTGCCAGGTACCAATGGCAACTGCTTTCCAGCTCTCCACAGTAATTTCCCTGTCAGAAAGCGCTCCCTAAGGGAATGGTGGGGAGGTGAGGGAGAGGGGTCCAGGAATGTTTGTCCTGCCACCCCATCCATACTCTGGACATCTCAAATGCCGTCGTCTGGAGTAGCCACCATCACCCTCTCCTCATAGCAGTTATCATTAGTGGACATTGTAGATATCTTTTAAAAATATGTTTTTATTGATTTCAGAGAGGAAGGGAGAGAGACAGAAACATCAGTGATGAGAGGGAATCATTAATCGGCTGCCTGCTGCCTGCACTACATGGGATCGACCCTGGCTGGTGTGGCTCAGTGGTTGAGCATAGACCTATGAACCAGGAGGTCCCGGTTAGGTTCTGGGCTTAATAATATAAATTGCACAAAAGCAGGGACCTGCCAGTCTGCTTCTCTCCCTGCAGGATCCCCAGGACCTGGCATATGGTAGATACAGAATTTGTATTGTCTGAAGGCCTGGCCCGGGCCTCCTACCCTGTCCTCGCCCCCAGGGAACCACTATCTGGTTTGTGAGCTTCTTTGCTCTGTATATTTTTATTTTGGCCGCTCGCGCACTGGTGCTTGTTCTTCCATAGAACCGCCTGTAGCCCTTCAGACACTCAGTTCAATTTGTGTTTTCCACTAGTGCTCCCATGAAGCCATCGCTCCACCATCACCGAGCCTTTCTTTTTAGGGATGTGGAGTATGTGTGGCTCCTTTGATGTGATTTAAGTTCTGTCCTGGATAACTTGGCCGTCACCCCCATTCATTCAGACCTCTTTGGGTCCTGCCCATCCCAGCTTTAGTCCATCTCGTCCAGTCAAATCCGATCAGCCTGTAATGACAACAGCCTCATGTCACATCACCACAGTTTTGAACTTTGCCTTGAAGTTTGTGTATGTGCCAGGTCTGTGGCAGATATTACAGGAAGCACCATGTGGGCTTGCGGCTGGCTGGAAACAGATGTCGAGGCTGAGTGAGCCCTCTCACAAATGACTTCCTTTTCTCTGTCCACCGGGTGACTTCCAGCACCTTGCACTCCTGGGAGAGGTGGGAAACCCCTCCACCCCAGCACTGGAGCGGGCACGCACAGGCACTGCTCCTTACCAAAACAGCCTAGGCTGCAGGGCCTGGGCCTCATCTACCCACACCTGGTTGAACTCCAGGTCCAGGGGACAATTTGCATATTAGCCTTTTATTATATGGGATAATATCCTATTCATTTCAGGTGTACATAATAGTGACTGGATATTTAAATATATTATGAAATGATCCCCATAATTCTAGTTACCATATTATTGATGGCATTACCATATTATTGACTGCATTCCCAGTGCTGTACATTATATACCCATGACTTGTTTATTTTATAATACATAGTTTGTACCTCTTAATCCCCTTTACCTATTTCATCTGCCCTTCAACTCCTTCCTGCTCTGATAACCACCAATCTGTTTCTGTTTTGTTTGTTCATTTATTTTATATTCCACCTATAAGTGAACTCATATACTATTTGTCTTTTTGTGTCCAACTTACTTCACTTAGCATAATATCCTCTAGGTCCATCCATGTTCATACAAATGGCAAGATTTGATTCTCATTTTATGACTGAGTAATATTCAGTTGTGTGTGTGTGTGTGTGTGTGTGTGTGTGTATAAAATCTTTACCCATTCATTTATCAATAGACACTTGGGTTGCGTCCATATCTTGGCTATTGTAAATAATGCTGCAATGAACATAGGGGTCATATACCTTTTTGAATTAGTGTTTTTGTTTTCTTCATGTAAATATCCAGAAGTGGATTGCTGGATGATATAGTTCTATTTTTATTTTTTTGAGGAACCTCCTTACTGTTTTCCATAATGGCTGCACCGTTTTACATCCCCACCAGTAATGTACAAGGGTTTCCTTTTCTCTACATCCTCACCAACACTTGTTATTTGTTGTGTTTTTGATAATAGTCCATTCTGACAGGTGTGAGGTGGTATCTCATTGTGGTTTTGATGTGCATTTCCCTGGTATTGAAGAAACTGTCTTTCCCCATTTTATATTCTTGCCTCCTTTGTCATAGATTAATTGACCACATATGCGTGGGTTTATTTCTGGGCTTTCTAGTCTATTCCATTGATCTATGTGTCTGTTTCCATGCCAGCACCATACTGTTTTGATTACCGTAGCTTTGTAGTATAGTTTGAAATCAGGGAGTTTTGTGCTTTCTCTAGATTGCTTTGGCTAGTCAGAGTTTTTTGCAGTTCCATACAAATTTTAGGACTCTTTGTTGTTGTCTTGTGTTTTTTTTTAAACACCTTCCTGAGGGATCTAGTGCATTTACAATCCAGACTGGCTATGTCAGAGTTCAGAGGAGAGAGTGCAGGCTGTGAAGCAGCACAGATGGGCTTGCATTCCACCTCCACTCCATGATGAATGCTTCTGATCATGTAAACAAGTTGCCTAAGTTTCTGAGGATCAGCTCAGCTGGGAAAATGGGAGTGACCACCTCCATCTGCAGGATTCTTGGCAAGAATAACGGACGCGGTGCGTGTGTGCCACGTGCCCAGCTGGAACAGGCGCTGGGTGAAGTCATCGCCCATAACTGTTAACCAGTCAGTCGCTGGTGTAATTGGCCACCCATCCTCCAGGCTTGCCAAGCCCTGGGCTCCTCTGCCAGCGCCCACTTAGCGGGAAGGCTTTCTGTCTGCAGACGGCGAACTCCTCGCCTGGAATGATCGTCGCCGTCGGAGGTGGGGGAAATGGGACGGGGTCCCTT